GGGGGGGGGGGGGGGGGGGGGGGGAATGAGCTCAGAGCCACCACCTCCACCAGGTGATGATGCATAAAGTGAGCTCAGTGCAGCACTGTCAACCTCAGCATGACACCCAGCCCCCCCCCCCCCCACACCACCATCCATGCTGCTCTGGTGCAGTCACCCCGCCTCCTTCCGCACGCTGCCTCGGCCTTCCCGCTCCACCCATCTGTGCACAGAGCACCGCAGTGTCAACTTCTGTCGCCGTCTCAAGCACAACACCAAATGAAGAAGGCAGAACTGCTAGACCTCACGTGTCAACTCTGCTCCTGTGAGCCCCGGAAAGCTGAACCCAGACACCTAGCTTCAAGTTCCCAGACACTTAAGACACTTAAGCAGGCAAACAAACATGAAGAACATGGCAATGTCAATCCAATATCTGTGTGAGGTTTTCATGTGGTAAATGCTGGGTTGAATTAAGCCATCGCACAAGCTCACAGCTTTGCAGAGTGGTAATGCATCCATTTCACATCATCATGCCACATGGAGGTAGCTTATCTTCAAATTGCACATTTCTTTTAGAACATAAAATGAACTCCTGGCAGCATTAGGTTGTGTCCGGTATCTTCCGTCTCCCAAAATAAATACTGCCCCGAGAAGTTTAAAGTTCTCACTACTGATTCTTGGAACGTGTGGCAAAATTATAAATACCATCGAATCACCCAACCTGGGAACACTATTAATATGAAAAATGTTCATCAGAAACCGAGAAAAAGTTGGAAATAGAACTACAAGGCAAGAAATAATTATATAAAAATAATACAGCTCCTTATCAGAAAAACACATTATACCAAACATTACATGCCAATCTAAACTTTGGAGACATACTACAAACCTGCATAAAAATCAATTACAAATACAGGAATAATAATCAAAAGCCATAAAAGCTGAAGCTGGGTTTTTTCAAGCCACGTTTCCCACTTGCATACATTTTTTATCCAACAAAAAGACTAAAATGTCAGGCTTTATATTCTCCCAGCATCAAAACCCGACTTTTCCTTTTAAATCAGTATTACAAAGTTTCCTTTGTTTGCAGTACTACAGCTAGATGTGCTCAAAATGTTAAAACTGCAGTCTAAATGGGTTTCAGATTGAAATCCTAGAAAAGCAAAAGAACATTCATTTAACCGGTTTTGTTTCTTACATTTTGACAAGATACGCAAAATTATGACTGAAGACAGGAAATGTATTAACGTCACATCCCAAGATGTAACACTGAAGAAACTATCATCTAGATATTCTGTAATTTAGAAACAAGTGGAACTTCAAAACATGGAAAAACTAAAGCTTGAAACAGCAGTTTTCACATTTAATGCAGCCAATCCAAAAGCATCCAGTTTGGCCTGACCCACAGTCCTAACCGTAACTCTAATCCACCATCCTAAACCTAACCCTCAGATTCACATTTCACAACAGAACACCAGTTCATCATACTTGTCAGTGCTGGAATGACACAGTAGGACATCAACTGCATGCCACTAAAAAGGAGATCATTCTCCACCTAACCTGTTAAAGTGTAAACTTCATATAATCATCAGGAAATGGTTTAGACAGATACCTGAGCTGTGTTTTTAAGCACTTTGTCCGAGAAGAGACTCCAAACTTTATTATCATTCTTTATTAGTCATGACAGCAGCAAGTGGAGAATGAACCCCTTAAGATGTTTGTACATTACAGCAAATTAATCTGTCAAACCTGCACGTTGGCTCAGTGAATAGCCCTGCTGTCTCATACTTCCAGAGTTGTGGGTTTGATTTCTTGCATGTTTTCCTCATGCTCATGCAGGTTTCCTCCCAAAACATATGCTTAACTGGACCCTCTAAAGTGCCCGTAGCGTGTGACTGGGTGTCATGTGAGGGAACATCCCAATTCCAGGGTGTCCCCTGCCTTGTACCCAGTGCATTCTGAAATAAGCTGCAGGCTCCCTATGATTTAGTACAGGATGAAGTTACAGCTCAACAGATTTACTGTTTAAAAATCTTCAGATTTAAATAGACATACAAATACTTTGTATTGAAAATACAACACAAAAATGCACACAAGAATCACTTTTCTACTTGATTTGTCAATATAACTATGCCCACCATTAAACAAGGGGGACTTCAGACCTACCCCTAAAATGGAAGCGACTTTGTTAAAAGCATGTTTTTGTACACAATTCCCTCAGCAACAAAATTAAAATGACCCACAATGACCTCTCCCTATCTGACAGCATGCTGCATTGGGTGCTGTATGCTATAGTTTACATATAGATCAAGCTGCCCTTTTAACAGTCAGTAAATACTATATTTAAGACATGCAGTAAGGTTACAGTAGTTCCCACTAAAGTTACCTAGATTAACAGATGCAGGTTTACAGGTGTAGCCCTTGTTAGAAGCCCATCATAGTGACCAGCAGCACTTTGAAGCACATCTCTTTCCCCCAAGAGCCACAAAGCCCCAGTGACGATACCTCAAGCCATAAAGGAGAGCCAGAACTTGCCGTGCGTCTGCCAGCAGAACTGGCTTTTGGCTGCCAGAGGGCTGTTTTCAAAACATGCATCTGAGCCAACTCTAAATATGACACTCACAATGGAGTAGTCCACACATCACCTGCTTCATGAGTCCAAAGGGGAGGACGGCTCCAGTGTTGACATGTTAAGCTGCACAAACACCCTTCTCTGTTTAAGGACCTTGATTCTGCAGAAACCACTGTGGCCTGAGCACTTCGCATAGGGGTAAGTGCACTCAGTGTGGGGCCGAGGGCAACTAGCATGGGGGGTTTCTGAATCCCAACCGCTACCACTCAATTTGCTTCTATTTACTCTGATTCTGTGACCAAATGTAGAATGAGACCCAAAAAAAAAAAAAAAAAAAGTGATGACACTTCATCCCAAAATGTCCATGCATGTGAGGCTCATGGAACTAACCTGAAAGTTTCAGGTTAACCAAGAACACCATAAAACAGACAATGATCGAAGAAACCAGGAGCACCCCTAAGGGTCCAGTTTCACTAAATGTTTGACACTTTGATAATCATGACTTGAGAGCCGTCATACACTTCACAAAATCCCAGCTTCTGACATCAGAAAACCGAATCCGTAAATGAAGGCGAATCAGGGGCGTTTTATAAGAAACAAGGGTTTATTTCAGCATGCCGCTAACCAGGCAGAAGCAAATGGAGAGGTGCCAACAAATGCTGGTAAGAAAGGCTAAGAGCTCAGCAAGAACTTCCCATCGTTACAGTAACTGAGCGAGGACAACCCAGAGTCGGCTGCCTTGTACAGGCGTCACGACGAGGAAAACAAACCATGACTTTCAGAAACTGTAAACCTAGATGCACCCCCTGCCCCCACAGACAACTGCGTCAACGAGCACTCATTCTAAAAGTGCAACTGAGAAGGTTAATTCTCGGGGATTCCTCAGCAGGGTCACAATTAACTTGTATCGGCACATGCTGATTTGAGCCTTTGAAGCAGTGTTTGTAAACTAAATACGAGTAAATTATCCTCACCGAGATCCTCTCAGCTCTCTCTCTCTCTCTCTCACACACACACACACACACACACACACACACACACGATACCCCTGGCTGTTCACTCATTCAGCCACTGCTCCCATCTGCCATAATACTGGGTATTTATAATTGCATTAGTGTTTCATCAAAGAAATCAAACTGCCACAATTAAATTAAAGAAGCAAAGCCACAAATACAGGCTGCATATGTGCAAGTGTGAGACTGTGACAAGCTGAGTGTCATCAGCCAGTGAGAGAAGAGGGAATGTAAAGATTCCACAAAATTATAGCCTCCACTTACTCCCTTCAGTAGATACACCGGTCTACAGAATCTCACCATGGGCACAATAAACACTGAAAGTCAGGGAACATTTTCGAAAACAAACAGAAACCCAACACACATCATTACTACATAATACTGACAGCACGTTGTTACATTGGCGTTTTCAAAGTGTAGGCCTTACAGGTGTTACACACAAAAAAATTGTAAACAGTTGTAAACAATCTACACAAAAGCACACAATTGCAGAGAGTGACATCTCACTTGGGAGTCCTTGAACCTGAAACTCCAAGGTGTTTAAGTGGGATTTCATTCGGGGGAACCTCAAAGCATAAATGAAACATGTGGATAATTTTAGATGCCTGCCACTCTAGAGAAGGTCTGTGACTGTATATAGTTCTTAGTGCTGAGATGCAGGCCGTTAAACTTGTTGAACACCTGACGATCATCTGAGCTTCCTTAGGTCTTAGATCACTTTACACCTCCATAAACATTTCTGAGCAATGCCATATAAAATCTAGGCCAGCAGAAATCAGGGATACAAAAGTCACATTGTGAACACCACCACCCTGGACAGAGGGATGCAGGTCATCAACATGAACACTGAGCCTCAACTACCACCTGTAATTTACATGTATAGTGGAAATGAGCTGTCCGTGGGTCAGTATGCTGGAATTTTTGCATCCATCTTGAAACCACTTCTATGCAGTCAAATATGCTGTTGGAGGAATACTTATATATAACCACTCCATAAACTGAACCAGATTACCTTTCATTTGGGATAAGGAGTCACATTATCAACACTACCAGCTGGAGTTTCACAGGTCGTTAAACCGAAAGTCGTGCACACTTAAAGAAACGTAACTAATTAACAAGCAGTTAAGACGCCTGTATGTCCCCAAAGGCACCGAAGCCGAGATACCGGCCGTTTTGGACTGGAGTCCTGACAGCTCACTTGGCCAGTAAAACTAGCGATAGATGCGCGCCTGGGTACCTGGAGTAGGTCACACCTGACATGAGGAGGGAGGGGAGAGCAGGGCAGGGCGCGGAGGCGGGCCGAAGCCGCTCCCCGCAGCCCTGGGAGCCGTACCTGGTGGAAGTGCCCTTCCGCACATCGCAGATGCTGCACTTGAACGCTTCAGCGCTGTTCTTGAAGGTGCACACGCTACAGTCCCAAAAGCCGTCGTCCGCCGAGGGTTTGGCTTGTCTTTTCGGCCTGAGGGGGAGAGATTCAACGGGATAAAGGGGTCAGAGCGGAGCCTGATACCGCCAGAGGCTGAGGGGAGGGAGTCGGCGGAGAAAGGGGGAGAGGGCGGAGAAGGAGATCGGGAGGAAAGAGGGGAGTGGGAGCCGCCAGCTAGCTGGGCGACCAGTTACGGCTGATGGCTAGCGGGACTGTTAGCGCGCCGTCGTCTACTGATAATAGCGAGCTAGCAGAGCCGGACTAACCAAGGCTAACCCGGGCTCGGCTGCGATAGATACGCCCGCTCCTCGAAAACCGAAAAACTGCCACTGCGCCCCAGCTCTCCCCCGAAGCCTTCCTGCAGCTGGGCGCCCGTTAGAGCCGCATCTCAGTGAGAGAGAAGAAAGGGCCAGGCGTTTCCCGTGCGCTTTCCCCCCTCTTTGTCTGAAAGTGCCGAGCCGGAGTGCGGAGAGAGAGAGCGAGCGGCAAGCCGCCATGGCCGCGCTACCCAGTCCGCGCTACCCAGCCCTGGCACGCGCAGCGAGCGCGAGAAGCATCCGAATCTCACCCGGACTGACACACGGCTCACCCCCGATGCGGAAAACCCCCTAGAAACACGGCGTGAGCCGCTCGCTACCGTACCTCGTCGGGCTTTTCTTGTCGCCCATGATCAGGAGGGAAAAAAAGGCTCCTCAGTAAAAACGGTCGAGGCTTTTGTGGTTATAAGAGCAGCGCGCCGACCGGGAGCAGAGCGCAGCCAGACCGCCGCCAGCCTCGGCTCACATCGACGGGACCAGGCGGCCAGGCACCACGTGACCCCGGCGCGTCCAATCAGGCGGCGCCTCCCTTTAAAAGGCTGCCGAATAATAGCGGAGAGGAGGGCGTCGGGCCGGAGCACCGTGCGCCTGGGGACGGCGGCTGGGAGTCTGTCTTCGGCAAATGAGCCCCGATTTCGTGGCTGATGTTAATATTCCACCGGAACGAGGTTCAAAATAAATGGCACGCTGTAAAAAGAGGCCCGTGTCCAGATGCGGCGCGTCTGTTTTAGAATAAGAGCTACTGATTTCTAGACCAACAAAAAAAGTAAAAAAAAAAAATTAATAACATATATATATATTATTTAATTTAAGTGTCAGAAAGACTTAATCGTATAAACATTATCTAAAAGTCAATTAAATACGATAAGATTAGACACCGAGAACTGGAAATCTTGTAACTGTCTTCTAAACAAAAGTCTACACAGCTACCGCCTTTCACAATTTTATTTTTGAGGGCAGTCAAATAAGTTTTGTAAATCCTCCGTTTGGTAAATCAACCAACAATTAACCAGTCCCCATGGGAAGCGATTGCTAGTCGAGGTGCTTCTTATTATAAATTCCCGGAAAGGTTCAGACCAGCGCCCTGCTCCACAAGGTGGTCGCCGCTACCATGGCGGGCAACTAAAACCAGTCGGCAAATTTCCAGTGACAGTGATGACGGACGAAGATGATACGATTCTCGGAAAGCAAAAAGAAAAAAAGAGAGAGAGAGAGAAAAAAAACCGGAAGCGGCTGTCTTGCGCACCCAGCGAAGGACGCGTCCCTGAGGTGCCGCCGGCCTGAAGCCACCGCGTTTCCCGTCCGGTCATCACTTTGGCAGGTGCATGACGATCAAAAGTGCAAAAAACGGTTTTCAGGGAAATATAAACAATAAGTATTCACATGCGTTTACGTAGGACTCTGGCTTTTAAACACAATAATTACTTAAGTTGCCCTTATGGAGAACATTTAGAAACTGAGCTTGCTTCCCCAAGCCGAAGTCCTGTCAGCGTGCAGTGGTAGAGGGCTTTCTCCCCGCACCCTCATCACTAAGTGTGAAATGCATTTATAAGTGAATTTAGTTAATTTACACTGCGCGTACAATGCACATTATATTGTGCACGTATATTCATTTGCGCATAAAAGGGTAGCTACGGTTTGTGTCACGTATTATGGGTTAAATATACAGTGTTCTTCAATGTCTGTAGTTCTTTTATAAAGTGTTAAATTCAACAGTCAGATTGTTTTCCTATTCGGAGCTGGGTGCGTGTCTTACAGAGCTGGAAGTCTTACCATCCGCATTACTATACACTCCGTTGTCCTGCCGATGAACAGGTTGTTTTTTCATTTTCGCTTTCCTCTCTGTAGCTTTCTAATGAATTATTTTACAATGGGCTGCAAGTAAACGTTTAAAGGATTTATTTGTATACATATTTTAAAACGTCGATTAAACACACGGGAGACGAGCTCGAGGATCGATACTGGTAGTTCGAGAAGTAATCCGCGTATTGCCAGAGGGCGACTTCGTGTTAATCGCAGGGGCTGAAAAACGGCGTGTTAATTGGGGTTACAATAATCTATCCCGGGGATTGTAATATTTCAGGTCGCTGTAATTGTGCCTTAACGTTGAATGTCGTTTAATAAAACTGGCAGAGAGGATAGACAGATTTAAAATGTGGCTATTTGAGGGACCAGGCCTGAGGACTATGGTCTGAGTTTTGGCACATTTCTGATGGTTGGGGTTCACTAACGCTGTAATGTGGAAGATCCACATCTTGCCTTAGATACACAAATGGACCAGTGGAAGAATTTGGGAATAAATCCGTAGTCCATCAATATAGAACAACAGTGATGTAAATACCAACATTCATGAATGAAACGTTTTTCTCTACCGCTTGCCATCTATTCTGAATATCTAAATTTTAATCATTTCAGTGCAGTGAATAGCCATCTTCAGATTCCAGGATGTAGCCAATGCAGAAAATTTGGTGTTGAAGGGAATCATCAGACTTTTGGGCTGTGTGGAATTATGGCTGTGTGGTTTTAAATCTCATATATGAAGATGGACAGTTAGTCTTTTGGTTATGATGTGAAACTGCAACTGTAATTGCAAGCTTGGTTACCACTAAGGGCAGTGTTTCCCAATCTGGTCCTTGGGGACCCACAGTCCATCCATGTTTTTGCATCCTCTGAGCTCCCTGCCAGACAGCCCACATTTTTACAGGCTACCGGGAGCTCGGAGGGAGCAAAAACGGGGACTGTATGTGGGTCCCCGAGGACCGGATTGGGAAACACTGCACTAAGGGCAGCCCTGTTGTGGGGTGGCTCAGTGAGCAGCACTGTTGCTTCATGCCTTCAGGATTGGCAGCTCAAATCCTGTCTTGGCTTTTCCTGTGTGTGTGGAGTTTGCATGTGTTTGGTTTCCCACTGCAGTTCAGGTTCACTGGCACCACTAAATTGCCAGTGGTGTGTGGCATCTCATCAAGGGTGATCCCCAGCCTTGTGCCCTTTGCTACCTGGGATAAGCTCTAAGGTACCCCAACCAGGACGGGCAGGCAGAAGGAGGATGGACTGCAATCCAGTTGTACTAAACATAGTAAGCTTCAGTAAGGTAATAAGGTTAAGAGATTTATGTAGAATCCCCATTAGCATTTAGTTATTGAAAAATTCATAGATGAGCAGAGCGGAGGCTCGTTGGGCAGCAGTGTGACCGGCACTGTGGGTTTGATTCCTGTCACAACCCTGTGCATCAAGTGGGTTTGTTTTCTGTTTGTGTGGGTTGCGTCCTGTGTGCTCGGGTTTATTCCTCTGACCAGTTGTGTGTCTGCTGGCCCCCGCTGTGTATGTATGCTATGGTGGACCGCAATCTCAGCACGGGGGTCCTTCCCGATGTTGCCGGCAACCTGCAGAAACACTGCACTGGGGGGAGCACGGAAAATGGAGAAATGGAATACTCTGATTCAGGATCATTTTATTCTGCAAATATGGAAACTACAAGGAATTTGTTTTGGACCAGTACAGAATGAAGTACAGAATGGGGCGGTGACTGGTTCAGTGGGCTTAAGTCTCGGTGTCCATGTTCAGAAGGTCGCCGGTTTGAGTCCTGGCCTGAGCATGACACGCACACATCTGCGGGCCCTTGAGTGAGCCCCTTAACCCCCCGCTCTAGGGATGCTGCATGTTGGCTCTCCCTGTGCTGTTACCCCCAAACTAGGGGGCGCAAGAGGGGGGTCAGCAAAGAGACAAATTCCAATGTACCTGTGCAAATAGCCAATGAAAGATTTATCATCATAATTTTATCACAATTAACATGTCAACATATAAATAAAGGTTTGACAATTAGGGGAGAAACAGCTTTGAAGTTAAAAAACAGTTTATGAAGTCAATAAAAGTATAGAATTCTTACAGGAAGTGATATGTGAAGATCCCTTAAGTGCCAATATGCTTAGAAACAGTCTCAGACACTTTTGAGAGATAATACTTTCAAACGTTCACTTATGCAACCTCTGAAGTGTTTAGATCCCAGAAACAGCATGTGGTGATGTTCTTCTGTGCTGTCTGAAGTAGAGGTCACTGCATACTCAAAGGACCGATCCTTGTCATACTGACAAGTGGTACAAAATATGCATGCATAACATTTTTTTTGTGACCTTGTTCAAACATTCTTCAAGCTGAGAAGATGGAACAACTGACACTGTAAATCTGTCATTCAAGTTACGTCTGGAAAACCTGCACTTGAAAATTAATACTGTACACCAGACTCAATTATTAGGAAAGCACATTTTTGTGTGCGAGTACATAATGCTAAGCTTCTTTGGGCCATAGTTTTAAGGGTGGAGTTGAGTCAAGTTGTCCTGCTTATGTCGGTCGGCATGGTGGGGGCCTGGAGTCTGTCCCCTACAGAATGGGGTTACGTCAGTCCATTGCAAGACACACTAAGGGCAATCTAGAGACACTAGTTCATTTAACTGCATGTCAATGGAGAACCCAAAGATCACAGGGAGCAAGCTTCACACACACCGGGTCGAGGCAGGACCTGACCCCCCGGCCCCGTAGGAGTGAGCTACCAGACAGGCCATATTTGAGTCACTGCAAGCTTGAACTGCAAGCCACTCACGGAAACGATGGCCGTCGCATTCAGCAAGGTCCCCTTGGTTCACCCAAAAGCACTCGTCTCACCTACTGTGGGTGTGTGCTGAGTCAGCACCGAGGTCTTCTCTAAGCCCCCAGAGCTGAAGATGAGTACACCTCCCCTTCTCCACGGAGGGAGCTGAGGCATGAATCATGACGCCTCGTTAAGTACTGTGCCCCCCCCCCCCACCAGGACACTGAGCCACACTGCAAACACTCAGCCATGAAAGTGTAGTCAGAACGGAACCAGGCTGGACGAGTGACGAGTTGTGAGTGTGGAGCTGTCGTACCCAGAGGCATATCCCTGCTTTCCCGTTTGCTCTGTGAAGCACCGAGAATCCTCTTAAGGTCTTTGAATCGACATTCATGCTTTATGAAGTTCTGCTGACATGCAGACCAGGCAGAATCTCGCTGCTGTCCAGTCCAACATGAGTCCAAAGCGGCGGTTCTGGCGTGTGTTGCAGTGTGTGCTTTACTCAGCTGGATGCTGGACCAGTTTCTGGCAGGTAGTATTATCGCCATGACGACATCCATGCAGTTAATAAATATTCATGTATAAACCAGCCTGCAGGTGAGCAAAGACAGCTGGAATTAGGGTACCATGAGTAAGCATATTGTTTCTCTTTCTCTCATTAAAGAGAATGACACTCCAGTTATATTTCATAGATCCTTGCTATCCCCATAGTATCTGAAATCCCCTTTAATTCTTTATCACTTGCTTTTTTTGCAGCTTGATGCTGGTGGCAGCGGTCAATCCCACTAATGATTTGTTAATTCAGTCACCTTCCCAACAATTTATGTCTAGGGACACATAAGTCCTGTGTGGCCCAGTGGAGAGCCAGATAAACACTCCAGTTATACGCAGAAGAAAGCAAAAAAAATCCAGAAAACCAACCTCGCATTCAGGTGGAGCAGATGAGTAACACAAATTTCCTGATGAGCTCCAGGGATCAATAAAATGTGGCCCCACCAGTGAAGACTAAACAGTGGGGCCACCAAGAGGACCTGCTGGGCTTTCTGCGAAAGGATGCTCCTCACACACTTCTGCCGCGGAGAGATTATGGCCACGGTTTCCTTCCTTGGAAGCTGGCTCTCTTTTTCACACAGCCTAGCCCTCCACCGCACAGATAAGCTCCTCCTGGTTTTTTGCTGATTGCTTGTCTACTGAAGTGTGAGTGTTTGACTAGGGCAGACGTCTGCCTTGACAGTTAACATGGACCGGCAAGATGCTTGGGGCAGTGGGTGGGGCTAATGCTTCGCTTGGATCAGGATCACAGCAGGAGGACACATGTTCAGTGTCGCTGCCCCTAAAGTAGGTGACGACTATTAAGCCAATTTGAACTCTATCTGTAACCATATACACCCATTATGTAGCATAATGCCACCTCCAAATATGATTTATCTCATATGTGCTATTTTTACATGCATAAATACCCTTTAATAAGCAGTCATCCGTCTTAAATTTCGTGCTCACACATACAGAGTTACTTTATTAGCATCTCAATGGCGGTCTTCACTGGATGAATGGGATG